CCTTGCATTCTTGTATTTGTACATTATAATTTCACTGTCTTAGGACAATCTGTCAGTGGCGTAGTAGTTAGGCTACCGGAATCGTAATCGAGAGGTTGCGGGTTCGGGGGTTCTAGCTGCTCGACGTTGTGCCCTTGTCAAAGGAACTTTACACGAATTTTCCTCACTTCACCCAGGTGGGAATGGGTACCCGGCCATCGACATATCTTGTCCGTATGTTAGTGTTTTAGCGCCTATAAATGGCCGCTAGCGCTGTATGCTTCCCAGAATATTGAGGTTGTTTCAGAATGCTCTCAGGTCTGCTGGGGTAATAGTGTAGATTGTGAATGCGCATAGAGCTTGCTGTTTAGCGGGGATTTGGGTCAAACAAATGCTACCTATTATTATTACAAGGTAACCACTTTCCTCCTCGACAGTGAGCGGCCATCTTGGACAGGTTCAACTGTATGTTATGTGGATTGGTCCCCTCAAAAGAAATGATAAGAATCCTGCCCGGAACTACAACAGAAAAGGCCGGAATGACGTCATCCACCATAGATCTATACTCACCGAAAAAGTTCGGGGACTCGAAGAAAAAGGCGAGAAGCCAGGCAGCGATGCAGAGGATGATGCAGATTTTCTTCTGGAAGATTCTGTCGTACTTCAGGTTGTGACACACGAATACGTACCTGAAAGAGAGACCTTAACCTGCTTAAAAGAATCTTAGGAGTATACAACAGAGAGGGAAAAAGTCCAGTTCTTGCAGATGGAGCAGAGGAGTTGATTACATTGTTCTTCTCCACACTACAGCAATCGTTTGGAAGTCTTGAAATTGTGGGCGCTCCGTTTGCTCAGGTATTGCCATGCTTGACTACAGAGCGGATAGCCCTGGGTCGAATCCAAGCTGGGTGTTCCAGAACTCGGATTATGTTATTGTGTTTTCAAGGCTCTCTACGCATTTGGCTTGGTCCTACCGAAGACCGACGTTAAATTCGGATAGGTCCCACCTCTCAAGCCATCTAGTAGGCCTACTAGTAGCACAGATAAGGGCGTTAAACCCATACACTTACTTTTAATATTGCAGCTAAAGAGTGTTACTAATAGAGCCTACCTCTTTTCTTTCCTTCTGTAGTTTCTGCCTGTTTCTTTCACTTTTCCCCTGCACTAAAGGATAATAATCGACCCTGTGTCGATGTACTTTTCCTTATTCATTATCATAATACTGAAATTTCACGCACATACTCTACTCCTCTTAGAAAAATCTAAATAAGATAAGATAAGATAAGATAAGATAAGATAAGATAACACCTCTAATCTTCGGCCCTGAAATGACCTAACTATTTTGCAAGTGGCGTAAAATTTTTACTAAAAGATACAACCACCCTTTCTACCACCGCCCTCCCTACCTCCCTACGTCTTTCTTCTCCCCATCTTTCCTC